GTCCTGCAGCAGTGTTCAGTGTGTCAGCGGGAGTGCTGTCGTCGAATAGCAGTGTTCAGTGTGTCAGCGGGAGTGCTGTTGTCGTGCAGCAGTGTTCAGTGTGTCAGCAGGAGTGCTGTCGTCCTGCAGCAGTGTTCAGTGTGTCAGCAGGAGTGCTGTTGTCGTATAGCAGCATTCAGTGTTTCGGCAGGTGTGCTATCATCGTACAGCAGTGTTCAGTGTTTCATCAGGAGTGCTGTCGTCGAGCAGCAGTGTTCAGTGTATCAGCGGGAGTGCTGTTGTCATGCAGTATTGTTCAGTGTGTCAGCGGGAGTGCTGTTGTCGTGTATTGGTGTTCAGTGTGTCAGCGGGAGTGCTGTCGTCGTATAGCAGTGTTCAGTGTGTCAGCTGGAGTGCTCTTGTCGTGCAGCAGTGTTCAGTGTGTCAGCAGGAGTGCTGTCGTCATATAGCAGTGTCCAGTGTTTTAGCAGGAGAGCTGTCGTCGTGCAGCAGTGTTCAGTGTGTCAGCAGGAGTGCTGTCGTCGTATAGCAGTGTTCAGTGTGTCAGCAGGAGTGCTGTTGTCGTGCAGCAGTGTTCAGTGTATCAGCAGGAGTGCTGTTGTCGTATAGCAGCGTTCAGTGTTTTGGCAGGTGTGCTATTATTGTACAGCAGTGTTCAGTGTTTCATCAGGAGTGCTGTCGTCGTGCAGCAGTGTTCAGTGTGTCACCAGGAGTGCTGTCATCGTGCAGCAGTGTTCAGTGTATCAGCAGGAGTGCTGTCGTCGAGCAGCAGTGTTCAGTGTATCAGCAGGAGTGCTGTCGTCGTGCAGCAGCGTTCAGCATGAGGGTAAGATTTGGGACTGTGCAGCAGAGCTCCTACTGCGCCCAGCAGGAGGTCCAGCGTGAGGTCCGGGGTCCCAGCCCTGCCTTCCTGAGCCGAGGCCAGAAACTCCTCTCGCACGCCGGCCACTCTTCTGGCACCAGCTGTTCACTCGAAACAAGGCTTCCCAACGGCAGGCCCAGGGGTCAGATCCAGGCCGTCCCTGTCCCTCCTCGTTTGTCCCCTCACGTCCCCACGCAACCTCTTCCCTTCGGGATCCGACCCCCTCGTCCCGCTCTCCCCGCAAGGGGGCGTGTCCCTCCCGCCCGCCTGCAAGAGAGGGGCGGAGGGGTCGGTCCAGAGGAAGAGCCCGCGGGGGGCTCAGGGCTTGGCGACTCTTTCCAGGTGCATGGTGGGAAACAGGGGCCCCCGTCCTGAAGCTCTCGTTCTCGGATCCCCCCACCAGGAACGGGGCCGGGAGTCCACTTCTCCTCAGGGCTGCGGGGCCGGGGGGGACGCCAGGCTGCGCAGGTCCCTCTCCGTCTCCTCCAGCCAGCTGAGGACCGCCTGGCAGACGCTCAAGCCGGCCAGCTTGCGGGCGTACTCCTCCTCCTCCTCCTCCTCCTCCGGCAGGCCCGGCGAGTCGGGCAGCCCCAGCGCGCCGGCCAGGTTGGACGCCAGGAGGCCGAGCCGGCTGCCCACCTCCCCCAGCAGGCGGTGGAGGCGCAGGGCCTGGGGGTTGAGCTCGCCCTGCCAGCGCT